GAGAACTCCTGAAAATTTCCAGTCATTGGAAGATCCAGGTATATATATGGGAATTCCGTGGATCCCTACAGGATGTTTTCCTGCCTCCTCCAACAAAAAATGCTTTTCACTTCGCGCCCTGTGCCCTGTGCAACCAGCCTCACCGGCCAAGAAAAGTACCCAAACGAAGACTACCGCTTACTCGGCATTATAAGTTCGGTCGAAGACATGGGACTGGAGACACAAACTGGACAGTGGGCGCCTCGCGTCCCAAGAAGAGTAGGAGTACCAGGACCTTCAAAGTGGCCTTTTGAAATCCCAGTTTGAGGTCACTTAGTCCATAAAGAGGTCACTTACAGACTCCAAAGAGGTCACATTGAAGGTCTTGGTAGTAGCTTCTTGCTCCTAGTAGCGATCAGGTGTCAACTCACAAATTCCCAACGAACGAAGGTACTTGGACCCTCCGAACCCCTGCAACATGGGCCGTGATGAACCCCCGAACAACAAAGTCTTCCTAAGGTCAGATCCCCATAGCCGATGTTACATCATCTCACGAGTTGCAAGGCCACAAGTTCGGTTTGATGTGCTTCTCAAAACGATATCTATTGGAGCACTGTCCAAAGCAGGCTGAAATGGCATGAGAAGTCCTCCGAAGGCAGCTTTGAATCCACTTCAGGTTGGAGTATCGATGGGAAAACTGACATGATATGGCATGATACAGCCCAAGAAAGGTCCAGTTTTAAAACCAATTCTTCTCTTTTCACCCAACACGGAGACCCTATTTTCGAGCCTCTTCAAAGACGAAATATGCCTCAATGCCATAAACTGGTAGTCTTTGTTTCGCATTCTACATTGATCACATGGAGGAAGGACTTCTGTCGCTCGGCCGAATCGTGGCTTCGATTCATCGAAGCCGGTCGAATCCCCTGCCGGGGCATCGCGAGGCAAGGGTCTTTTTCCCCTTGAGGCTCGGCCACCCAAAACATGGCCAGAATTCCTCTTTGCCATGTCTGGACGAATCCAAACTCAACAACTCGCTCGCAACATAGTCGCTCGCAAGCTTAGATATTGATTCAATGATCAAGGCTTGGCTGGGTTGTCATGTAGAATAAGCGACCATCTAGCCTGCACTGGTTGAAGGAATAAACCATGGAAACCGTAGGTGGTGTGAGCCGAGCAATTCATCCCCTCACAGCTCCCAAAACGATACAAGTATAGAACTATATAGATAACACAATGCAAAAAAACATAGAGGTACATGGAGGTACTGAATGGTCCTGATGTCAGTGTAAATCGACTTGTAGCTCCTAGGCCCTAGGTGTTGTTTTTTCTTGTTAAACATGTTTTTTGTTTTTTCGGGCGTGGTTAAACATGCAGTGTAGGTTTTTGTAATGTGTTTGTTATGTTTTTTTTTCACGTGTCCAATGATGGCTAACTCAGGGCAGAACAGCCCCATGTAGTACATCTGGCAGCAAAGAGGTCTCGGTTGAAAAGGCTTGGGCTGAGTCTTGAAGTCTTGACCAGAGTCCATTGGCTCTGCCGCCTTCAAGCCGCCCAACATAGACGATTTATACACTTCGTGGATCGCAGCTCGCACAGCTCGTTGGTCCTGCAGCTGAACCCAAACACCCATCCATCGCAACGTCGCAACGTCGCAAGGTCGCTTAGTCGTTCTTGCGCGAGCACGGTGATCTAAGAATTCCGAACGTTCGCCTGGTGACCCGAACATGGAGGGGTGGCTGTTGGGTGTCTGAAAAAGACCTATTTGTCTCTTCAGCTGCATGACTCACTTCGACGTCGCATGACTCGAGTTTACGACCTCCACTTCTGCACCGGAGACCCGGACTGGCATCGGTCGTTTTGGGCATCCTGACCCAGTGGGGTCGTTCAAAGTCAAAGCCTAACAAAGCGCTTGGCATGATGTTATTCCAGTGTCCACTTATAGCTTAAGAAGGGTTTTGGACATCAACGTCCTTTGTGGGGAAAAGGTTCATGGCGTTTTTCACACGACCACGGCAGCTTTGGCTTCATACCTGGTGGGATGCCTTATTCGCGAGCACATGCCAAGCTTCAATCCCAAAGACATCAGCGAGCTAGATGCCACACTGTTTGAACCTTCGCATCGCAGGAACCTTCACAGTTCGCGAAGCTACGATCAGGAGAGAACCAGGCCGACCTTGTCAGAGCAAAAACGAAGTGAATTGAACTGAATTGGGGCGAACAAGCCATCATGTGAAAGAATACCAAACTCATTGGAACTCCAATCCTTGGATCGTTTTGGATGGACTCATCAACCTTCTGAGAGCGAAGTGGACGGTGTCTCACCAGTCAACCTTCCAGAAAGCCTGAGACAACTGAGCAAAAAGCTTCAAAAGAGTCCAGCCTCATTTGGCCTGAACACCTATCCGTGTGGATCCAAAAATGCTTTCGGTTTTGTGAGACCAACCGTGCAACATGTAGATTCTACGCTTCCTCCACCTATAGTAGCACACGTGCGTGTTCCCTTTCCGAAAGCCATCAAGCGTTCCACACCTCTGTGGCTACACATCACAGAGAGTATTCATCTGCACCAGGCTCAGTTGGTCTCTACCCTCCCAACGACCACTCTGAAGGCACGCGGATGTCCTTAGGTTTTGCACACGCCATTCCCGCCGTCCTGCGCTCTTCTCGGGGATCCCCAGCGTTACCGTTCGCTGCACCGGTGAACAATCTGTGTGGTACTAGGCGTGGTATTCGATCTGTGACACAGGGTCAAGTGGTCCAGTGGTGTGTGGACAGGTCAAGTCCGCCCTTGGTCCAAAACAAAGCTTTAAAAGAAGTAATTAAGGTCATGTATTGGCAAAACTCAAGTGGTCCAGTGGTGTGTGGACAGGTCCGCCCTTGGTCCTTAGAACAAAAGGACCTTTTGTGCGGACAAGTGTCGTTGAGCTCCCCGAAGGAACCTCGATACATTCTCATTGTTCATCTGGTGCTCTGGCACCCCCGGGGGGAGTGCATGCCCCGACACCCTGTTAGGGTCACAGTCCGCTGTCCAGGAGCGATAGCTCTCCAAAGCATCCTGGAGCGAGAGCTCTTTTTGGTCAGAGGTCGTCAACACCGGACACTCTACAGGTCAATGACCTCAGTTGACTGGACGTGGTACAGGTCTCAAAGACTGAATAATATTTAAAAAAACACCGGTTTTGCTGGGTCACTGGACTTGTGGGGATATTATACCGGCGAGGAAACTGGTGCTGTTGGACCAGCTGTGGTCAACTAGTCTGACTTGGTTGGGCCAGCGGTGGTTACTATATACATACGTCCAAAGGGTGTGTGTCTTCCAGTCTCAAAATCTGTCAAAGATGTCAAGCTTAAATTCTTATAAGCTTGGTGTCTCACTCGGCACCGCAGAGCAAACCACCACCGGATCCATGTCCCAAACCTGGCCGTCCTCGTCCACGCCCACCTGCAACTCTTCCTCGGCAAAACCGAGCGAAGGCCGTGACGAGCGAACGGACGAGCGACGTCGTGGAGATCGGACCTGAGTGGCCGTCGGAGTGGCGAAGTGTCCACATGTTTCGTGACGCTCCGTAAACTGAAGAAGCACACAGCTGGAAAGACAGATTCTCTTCCAAGCCAGAAGTGAGTTGCTATGTTAGGTTCAGACTTTTGTTCGCTGGTATACCTGTGGAAACATGTCTCAAGGCAGGCACATCAGCCAGAGCAAGAATAGGATACATACTGGAGTACTATACTGCGGAGTATATACCCTGCCAGCCGGGACCCTAACTTTTCCTCGGGTATGCGGACAAACCCCGGGTTTCCGGGAAATCCCTGGGTATTCTCTCAATCTGCCTGCTGAGGTAAAGTTGATTGAATTCCTTTGCATGCTGAACAATCCGGGTGGCTATCCAATTTCTTTTTTCGTTCCATTTCGTTCCATTGATATGGTTTGTTGACACTTGCTTGAATTTTATCAGGAAAAGTTCAGGTGTGAGGTAGAACCTGTGATTTTCCCGTGCTGAACCCGTGATTTACCCGTGCTAACCCGTGATTTCCTTGAAAAACGCCGTCTTTATTGAAAAACCCTATCTTTTCAAATCCGTGATTTACCCGTGCTAAACCCATGATTTAGCCGTGCAAACCCGTGAAAAAAAATCACGGGTTTGAGGTCAGATGCCGAACAACTTTTGGGTACAAAAAAAACGCAAATCTTCTGAACTGACACCCGTAGCCTCGATACTCAAACAAGACATTGACGCATCAGTATGCACGTGCTCAAATGCAAAGAACGATGAAAAAAGCAAAACCCCGGGTTTCCAGTGAAAACCCTGGGTATTTTGGAGAACCCTAGGTTTTCTTCGGGTGTTGGCTGTAAAGGTATATAGAGAGAGAGAGAGAGAGCGGAGGAGGAGGGACTTTGCCCGAAAAACGGTGCCCGTCACATCCACTGGATGGATCCGAAAAAACACCACCGAGACCTCCGAAATCCTTCCCATTTGTATTGAAAGAGGGAGACCTCTCCCCCAGAGAAAAAAACCCTGGAAGTCCAGAGACATAGATCAACATGTATTTCAGGAGAGGTCTCCCTATTCAAAAACACCCATGTCTTTTCTCAGAGCTTCTGGAAGGTGCAAAGGGATCTTGAACTTCACCAGTTTGGCTCGTGCATGCGGCGAAGGACTTTGCGTCTGTCGGACGGACACCGGTGGCACCGGCTCCTCGAGCTTTGTCTCGACAAGGAATGCATGGCGAATCCTCAGGTCCTGGGCGCGTGGGACGCGGATGCCGTGGGTCGACGAAGGTCAAAGGGTCACAATCCGTTGAGTCAGTTGAGTCTGTCTGAAGTTGAGGTCACGGAACCAATCCGAAAGCGAAGGGATGTACGGTGTACATAACCCCTAAGGGTCCAGGACCATCCGATTCAAATGTCCTTTGACCCCCCGGCAACGACCATTCTCTGGAAGTATACGTACTCACCTCCGGCAACGACCATCCGAAGTACGGAGGTACCTGGACCTATGGGTATTGATCTGTACACCGTACACCCCTTCGCCCTGGAATCTTGTGCTTGCCTTTGTGGGTCGGTTCCACTTACGATCGGTTCAGTCTAACGCAGAGGCCGGCGGCATCCCGTGGCCCCAGCGGGGGCGCCTCCACCTATAGCAATGGCCTCCAACCTAATGGCGATGGCTCCAACTTGCAATGACTCTCAAAAAGGCGGTTCACGCGGTATACGTGTGATTATGAAAGCCTGGTATACCGCACCCAACTTTGCCTGCAAACGTTCCAACCCACCGCGATTGGCGGTGGGAGCCCACCCCAAAATCGTGTCCAAGAATTGTTATTCTCGGAGATTTAAGATCCAGCTGTTATACCCTCCACTCCTCAGAGGAAACTGTCCAGTAGACCCCATCAGGTCACGGGGGTCCACCCGATCGGCCCACCTGGACGTCGCGATGAAGTCAGCAAGTCGAATCGCACTTATCGATGGCCTCCACCTATAGTAGCAATAGCCTCCAACCGGTCGTAGCGATGCTTGTCTTGTGGGTCTATGATTTGTGCTTGAAGGTTTGGGTCCCCTTCTCCTTATGTTGAAAAGGATCATTCAGCACTAAAAATAATAGTTCAAAACACATGTGAAGAGACTGCGCCCCCAAAAAAACTAAGTAGATGTTCTGCAAATGTGTGGCTTCAGATGTGTATACATATATTTCTTCAACATCGGACGACTGACCGCACGACTCACGATCGGACCAAGTGACTTGAACCGGTACCTGAGCCGAAGACGACCGAGTCAGGCGAGTCAGGCTCGAGTCGGGTGTCTGGTCCGAGTCAGGCGAGTGGAAGACGCTTCCCGGAAGTAGATGGTCACTGGCACTGGTCACAGTGAATTCCCAAGTCGGGGAAGTGTCAAGAAAAATGCCTTGCTGTGAGCTCAAATTGCAGGCGCCAGTCCAAATTCTTTGCGGTGGGCGACAAAAGTGTGTTCTTTGGAGAAACATGTCTTCAAACATAGATTCCCTTCGCCGTTCAAGTCAATCATAGGGCAGTACCCAGGCTGCACATACCGACCTACTCACTCACTCACTCACTGGCAACAAAGGAGTACAAAGGTCCTTTCCATTCCTTCACTCCCCTGCGGATTGGGTGCAGTGCTTAGGACCACCTGACAAACTGCTACGTCTGACCGCCATGCTGAAGAGGCACACGAAATCGTCAGGATCCTGTTAGGTGGACTATGGGGTGGGTGTCCAGTGTCTTCGGCGACATGGGTGACATGTCTTCAGGACACCCTGGATTTGGACGATTGGGACTCCCGGTTCTCAGGAACCCAAGCAAGTCCAGCAATTGATTCCTGCACCGTGCCGCTGTCAGTGGGCGATCCAAACAGTTTTGTACACGTTGAGAACCAGCAAATGACTATCACTCTTCTTCATCATCATCAGCATCCTCATCCGCACTTAGAAGACCGCTTGGCAACAGCAAACAATAGCCAATTTGGAGGTTCATGACCTAGGAGAGTTCTCGTGTTGTTGTTAGCGGCGTTAATGTCTCACAATGCCAGTGTTCGCCAGCAAACTTCCGGAAAAAAAACACGCAAAACAAAACAAAAACATGAAACACCCCAAAGCTATTCCACAGCATGAACAGACCTGGAGGCCTCGCAAACACTCCCTGGAGGCCAAGATACGAGCTTGTGAAAATCCGTTGGCCTCGTACTCGCTCCACACCCCATCACAAAGAGGTATTTCTCTTTGTTGGAGCTGTTGGCGCATCTGATTTCAACGGAAATCCCTTGAGCCGTTGGGCCAAAACCAAGTGACCATTTGCACCCTGGCAGGTGCTCCATTCCCAAATGCACTTCGAGTTCATCAGGAAAACTGACAATTTTCCCCAAACAAGAAACATCTGATCTGTGAAGCGTGACCCCAGGGCAGTGACCTGCAAACCGGCGTTAGCTTGCTCTGACCTGCAGAATCCGCCGCTTTCGCGGAAGTGGTGGAAGCCTCCCAAAGCCCAGCACATCATCCCCCATTGGGGGGCATGGAGCCTCAGTCCCCCTCAAAACCAAGCAACCACCCAGAACGAACAACAAAAACTGTTTGAAGGATGAAAAAGCGCGAAGTCGGCTCATCTGTCCAAGCCACAGCTCGTGTTGAGCAGCGGATTTTGAAGGATTACAATAGCCAAAGACTCCCATGTATCGAATATTTGCCTAGATTGGGGTGGTTCCTAGATTGGGGTGAACGATGGTGAATTCATGTCGGTATAGGTCATATTATACCCCTTTATGTACCAGCAATCCTTGCTTTGATTCCAGCCGTTTTCCCCAGATTCATGGTCCTCTCCGCAGCTGACGCTGCGTCCGCTTCATTTGGGACGCCGTGCCTTTCCACTCGAGTTCGGGCGGATGCCGATGTATTCCAAGACCATGCCACCCTGAGCGCACATGGCAAATGCTGCGCTCAGGCACATGGCGGATGCTGCGAAGCACGGAGAAGAAGTGCTTTCGGAAAAAAGAAAAGGACAAAATGCAAAGATTCACGGTCGAAATATACCGGGCGGTACTGAAGCTGAGATGAAGCAAACATGACACATTGACCGGCCAAGCAATGCAGTAAAACATCAATTGGACATCATGGATGCTGAGTGATTTGTCACTCATTTGCAACATTAACTATCGACTATACCGTACCCACTCACCTGAGACTCCTCTACACACCGCACCACCCTGCTCACACATGTCAACACCTTCACCATGTGCGCCAAAAACAAATAGTTCATAGTAACACACACACACGCAACAGCGGGACGGAGGAGACTGGTCGTCTCGTCTCGCCTGGCAGGGTCTCCTGGTCTCGCGTGCGGGACGCGGCCTGGAGCTCTTTGGGCCCCTTCTTGCAGGAGACTTGTCGCGTGAGAATCGCCACTGCCAGCATGGTCTTTGTCTCCGGACACTCCTGACGTCGCCACCCCAGGACGTCTTCGCGCGTTTTCTGCCGCCCACATGAGATGAACGGGGAAGTGTAGGACTCTGAGGCTTTTGGGGTCGTGATTGAGAGATGCGGACGAGGATTCGGGAAGTGTAGACCTGCAAGCACTCTGGGAAGATGCGACTGGAGCCAATCAAGAACGATAATTGGATGATCCTGAACAGTCTGGTTCGGTGAACAATCTTATGAGTTCTCCTGGTCACTGTCTGGAATCCACAGTGAAGCTTCATGGAGCTTGCTTCGGTTCGCCTCTGGTGCTTGCCTCTGGTGGTGCTGGCTAGGTGAGATCCATGGAATCTAATTATAGGGACTGCTTCTCCGGCTTGTCAAATCTTGCCAGCCAAACCAAAAGAACGGGCCTGCTTTGGATTAACTGGGAATCTGCTGAAGTGTGTGACCCATCTCTCGCTTTGAGACCGGGTGCTGAGACTGACTGGACACCGGAACTCGAGATATGTGACTGGCAATGACTTCGTTCGCCCCCTTTGAGACCCTCATCTAATATAGATGTGTCGAACATGAGCCGTGTTCAATAGCAACATCAACAAACTACCATCGATGGTAATTCATCCACAAGAAATCTGATTCATCGACATCCGAGAACAAAATCGTAACATTCACAATGCTATCAACACCCTAATCACACGGGACGAATCATCCAGAATCAACGTTCATGCACACCCAATTCTCAACGAACCCCTTGACATCTCTTGACAAAGCCCGGTTTCTTCTTCACCTCTCCTGCCACAGGAGCCAAACATGTGGGATTTGACGTTGCTTTCGGCCTGGAGGGTGCGAATAGTGCGACATACTGAGAGGCATGTGAGCTGGACCACTTGGTTTGAAGGGTTTTTTTATGGGTGCAAACTAAGCTGGTCCACATCTCCGCAACGGAGGGGTCTTGGAGGTGAATTCCTGAAGTTCCTGAACAGCTAAGCTGGTTCATCTTCCTCTTCCAAACTGGGACTTAAGAGATCTGCCACACCAGGGAAAGTGACATCATGTGGCATCATGACGACGGTCCTTTGGTCCTTTGGTCCGTTGGACCGATGGATACTGTCCCCTGAACCATATCTTCTACCCGAGTCTCGAACGGAAGACTCGCACCCCTACGCATAGGTTCCAAGTGATCCAAGTGGTCCGACTTCCGTCACATCTATATCTGCAGGTAGTGAGACGTTGTTTGGTGAATGAACCAAGTCTGGGGTGTGTATGAAATAGAAAATTGCCCAAAGACTTCTCCCCGATTGAATGCAAACCTGTGGTTGAGGGGTCTTCCATGGTCTTGCGCTTCCAACAGCTGTATGACTGCATGATGTCTGTCCCAACTGCAAGGAGCTGTTCTAACTGGATTCTAGCAAACAAACTGGATGATACACTCCCTGAGAAACAAATTGACATGCAAAACCACCTGTTTGTAGAAAAACACATGGACTTTTGGGGAGTGCAACTCCCTTTCAGCCAGTTGACCCAATGTGATGACCAATCTTTTGGTTCAGGCCCATTTTACATGTTTTTCGTGCCTTTCTGCTTGGGCCTCTTCTTGCCCGAGAGCATCTCACGTATCGTCAGCTGCGAATCCTCCTGTTGGTGTTGGGCCACGGAGATCCGCCCTGTCTGGTGTCCAAGTCCAAGAACATCAGAACACTCTCCATGGATGGGTCGAAATGCCAGCACGTGGGAGCTGGTTGAAAACACAAATTTCAGCATTTCTGAATGTTAATCTCTCATCACTTCTCATCACCTCAGCATGGATGAAAACCACAATTTGCTCCGGCTTCCACACCAACATGTCTCAAACAACGGCGTGACGGAGGATTTCGCTCCGATTTTCGGATGTTCCCATGAGGTCTGACTTCAGAACCGGAAGTAGTGTTCATCGGGGTGGATCCTCATGACATCTGCCATGCAGGTCGCACCCTGAGATGATTTCCTCGACCCTCTGGCAGCCCTGGCTTGGAAAATCATCTTCCGGTTTTAACTATTATAGCGATGGCCTCCAACCTAATAGCGTTTTAAGTAGTGGGGAGTTGGTTCTAACATGTTCTAACTTGGGCGGCAAGACCCACAGCAGCGACAGTCACGTCCGTCGGGAGAGAAAAGATCCAAAGGGAATTGTCTGGAGACCCCCAACGAAATCGAGACACATTGCCTGGAGCCTACGCACAGGGATCACGACTCAACCACTGACCTATAGAATAGATATCGAACAAAAAAATAAGATTTCCTCTGAACATGTTCCATCTACTTGAAGACCTCCATGAACAGTTGATGTCGTCTTCTCCTGCGTGAAGGCTGTGGACAGAAGCTGGGCAGCCTCATCTGCCACGGTCGTTCCCGCCACGGTCGGTGCCGGAACATTCACTGAGTTCCCGGTGAATGGTGAATGGGGTGGTGTCATCGAGACTGGCCATTTTGGGGTGAAAGCGAACATTCTAGTCAAACTCGTAGGGCCTCAAAGCACATCAAAGCACTGTTCCAGACTACAGGCTCCTTGCGCCGTGGCCACTTTCACTCCAAGACTGGTAGGTTCATCGCTGGTAGGTTCTCGTGGCCGCCCCAACTAGCTGGGGGAAGTCCCGCCCCCAGCGTTGGTGGAATCAATGAGGTGGGCGTTTTTAGTGAAAGACTTTGTTTTTTTTGTCTTGCGAGGAGCAGGTGGATCTCAAAAGATAAGTTGCAGATCTCAGAAGTTAAAGGAACATGATGGAATCAACAAGTGCTGGAAGGATCTTTGGTAGGCAAACCACTAAGGGCCATGTATATAGTGCTCCTGGTGTTCCTTGCGCACAGTAGCTTTGGTAAATCAGCAAGCACAAAGCGTACCGATGACACAAAATGCGCTGATGCAATCATCCGCAAAAGGCCTGGCATGTCCAATCAACATCACCAAGTGCCAGATGTGCTAGACACGTGTCTGCAATTCTAATATTTAGATAATTATTATATACATATTAGAATATTAATATGGTTCTCTGGCAAAGGTTGAACTGAATGTCCTGTGACCCCTTCGATGGATGCCATCCAATCATCCTCATGGCCAATTGAACGAACAGTCGATCTCGACCGGACGTCCGATGTGGACGCACCGCCGCCCGGCCGAGTCCCGTGAGATGCAAGCCAATGGCCTCCTCTCGGGCGTCTGCGCTCAAGGAAGACATTGGGGCACCAAAGACTCGCGGAGATGCATGGGTCAAGGCCTTAGACCGAAAAGAGAGGCGCGTGAGCAAAAACAAGAGACGACAAGTCTGACCTGGTCAGAATTGTCAAACCATCCAAAATGTCAAACATTGTCCAATATATAAAAGCGTTTGGTGGTTGTCATTTTTGGATCAAAAGACCTCCAAAGACCCCATTTGGGTCGAACACCCACAGTTTCGCCTCTCCAAGTGGCGGTGTTGGGCCGCCACAAATCCCAACATCCATTGGGCAAGACTTGTGGCCTCCCATCCGTGCGTGCGGAAGTCATACTGTGGGGCGTCGTCGCATGATCAGTCCGGCATCCAGGTTTTCCAAAACATCCCGAGTTGCACATGAGACCAAAAGAAATTGTTCATTTATAGGATGACCATCTCAGCCTCCGATTCAGAATGGTACATTGAACCCGAATTCTCCTATAGGGATGTTCGTTCTTTTCTTCAACATGACACGACGATTCCAAGTGGTTGACCCGAAGGGTACGACCCATTGGCAAACCGCCCGGCCAGGCCCGAAGGGTCGCCGGGCCCGGCCGGAGCCCAAAACCGTTGAGCACCGGGACCTTCAGTTCGTGACCGAACTTGAGATGCGTTTCAGGTCACGAATCGTCCATAAAGAGGTCACTTACAGATGAACCAGCCGAGGATACGTACTGAAGGTCGCATTCAACATCATGATAGGAATCTGTGGGATATTGTTTTGGATGTCATGCAATAAACACGTTGCAGTATGTCTATCCTATCATGTTCTTACCCTTGCCAAAGCAATTTGAGGTTTTCTACAAGAAAAACTCTATACCTCTCCTTCTACAACTGTTAGCCGCTGTTAGCCTTGTCGTTTGTTCTTCTTCCCCTCGTTTCACAGTGCTTTTACACACTGCAACGGTTTGTGCAGTGCACTGCATGCGGGCAGTGTGCTGTGTGGAACCGTGAAAAAAAAACACATTCCGGATCAACACGGCTCTGTGGGCCAGTGTGGGCCATTGTCTACGTGGAAGGTGTTTTAGGTTC